TGGCAGCATGCAATCCTCACACCTTCTCATTTCTTTATCAAGATTTGCAGCATCAAAATTGATAGAAAATAACTTTTTTCAACATTCATTGACTTCAGAATATTCCGATATGTTTTGATTTGACTCACCTACTGCGTCGTGGCTGAATTTTGTACTTTGAGGCTAAAGGACTACGAGTCGAGGCTAAAGGATTGCAGGTTTTGGCTAAAGCTTGATGGGAAAAGGTGTAGTTGTTAAATCTGAGGGATTTTTGCGTACGATGGATAGTACAGAGTAGTGAACAGTTGTTTCATCCTTGTCTGGGCTCCGCACCGGTGTCCTCCATGTTTGTGTCACTACCGAGACTAAGGACGCGACCTTTCGGGTCGAAAGAAGAGATCCTTATTCCAGAATTAACATTGAATTTCTGAAGAATGAGAACCGAAAAAATCAAACTGAGCAGACCCTGGAATCAGTAAAATGGTATGGAGAATACAAATTGATTGTAAATGGTCACAAGTTCACAGTGTTGACCATCGGGCTCATAGCTCAGAGATAAGCCCTTCGGTTCCTAACTTGACAACTTACTCCTCAATTTCCGGCGAGGAAAATATAGTACACACCATTGATGAGTCTGCCCAACGATGAAACAGCTATTTTGTGCTCTTTATAACCCATCACAGTGGAAAATGCATTTCTATGCGCGGACTGAATGAATTCTCAACATGTGAGACCTACACTATACATGGTCCAGGGTGGGTGAATTTGCATGAAGATTTGAAGAAAAAAGTGCACAATAAGAATGTCTCCAGAAACGTTCTTACAGACCTGATGGTAAGTTTAAAATAGAGCGAGATCTATTTATTGGAATCGCTTATCGGACTTCTTCCATTCCATTAAATATTTCGAGTATTAAATTGCCAGTTTGCTTGGTAGATGAAGGCCAGGAGTGAGGTGAAATAGAAACGAGAGGACAAAAACCTACACCGGATTGAACTCATCTGAGACGGTCCTTTGCATCAATCCCGAGGGAACGGAGATAACCGAATTTCCATTTGGCATAGACACCTGTGACACTTCCGGATTCACGTCATCCATAAACGGAAGGAGCTGTCCGATTTCCATTGGTTCACGTTTTTGTCGACGTCGTTCCAACCACTCTTGAGATAACAAGCGGAGCAAAAAGGGCAAACGGAGACATCGGATAACTAGCCATTCAAATATAGCTACCATTTCACTGAAATCACGGTGCTTTGCTCCTGTTAGCGGCAGTAGAGGCATTTCCTAGAAAGATTACTTTTAGAAAAGAACGCTTTGGATCAGGTTAACAGATTACTGGGATGATCTGCATTTTGACGATACACGGTTTTGGTCTAAACTAAATTAAACGATAATCCTATGGTCCTGATCGCAAATGGCCTATTTTTCACTCACCTGGGCTAATAAACCACTAAAACAGTTGATCTGATCTGCGTTTTCATTGGCACTTCGTTCGATCTAGTACTACGGTCAAACTTGAATGCATATCCCGCGCCAGATGCTTCTACACTTCCGTTCATTGTTTGCTTTGAACCAAAATCCAATTCAGTCGCAGATATGAATAAAGCAGTTACGTGTTTGGGCAGAAGTCCCGGTTCCACTCTCTCTCTCTCTCGCTCTGTTGTTGATCAAGTACAACGCAACGCCATCTTGCTGATCAACGGTATCTCTTATCGTCCACGTTCTCATCGCTTGGTCGATGATAAACTGTCTATTTTCTACCGTTAAAACGTAAGCTTTATCCCTCAGAACTTTAAATCGGTGGTTCTGTCCTTCTTTTTCTTTTTTCCGGCTCTCTTATCCGTCCCAGATATGGGTCTATTATCTTTCAATCTTCCTTCAGTGAAATACACTTCCTATTACCGAGGTATCGAGCACTTACAGCATTTACTTCTTAACATTAGAATGAACAAACTGATTCTCATTCAAATTTAACTAATCAGATGACCATGGAGTTCATTGTTCTGTTGTAAAACACTTCGTATATAATAAGACTGCAGGTGACAAATGTCATAGAGAGCTGACAGGACAAACGTGGAGACCGCGAAATCTCGTACATTCAACATGTTTTTCAGAGATGGAACAGACTACCGCCATAGAGAATTCCTGCGAAATGTGCCATCTCACCCAAGTCAGCAGTGGCAAAGCTACGGGTGTGCGCGAAACGATCTGTGAAGCCGATTATTCGCCTATTACCAGTAAACAATGATGTCTGGCATACCGAGCAGAGCAATTGGAGGCACAATTTAGCTATAGTGTCAGCTTCTCTGCACAGTTATTCCGGCACATGACACCTGGTCAGTTCCGATAAACCTACCACCTTATGAGGAAATTCGCTACAGCACGAGGCACCGGGCTCCGATGGCGATCACAAAGCCTGTTTGAGGAAGATAAGAAGACGTTGTTAGATAATTGGTTTCTTTGTTGCCTGAGGTTCGGGTTTCGAAAAAAAATACCATTCACGTGGAGGAATCTATGGTTATCATCTTCCAAAAGAGTTTGTAGTGAATACTTCAACCACAGGAACATAAACCCAATCCCAGTAGCGTCCAAGCTGTTCGCATTCGTCATTTTCCGCCGATTTTGAAAAAGACGTGAAGAGCAGGCTAAGTTTCGCGCCGGTAGTGAATGTATAGATCAAAACTTCACCTTCTAACAGCAGCTAGAACATCGTCACGCCCATTAAACACCAACGATCATTGTGTTTCTATACATCCGGGTGGCCTTCCACTTTGCCGATAGGACTGCACTAGGGAACTGTTTTTTGCTACATGGAGTACCTGAGAAAATTGTGGCGATCCTCAAAGAATTGTATCGTCATACTTTAGGCCAGGTTAGGGCCTATGACTCGCTTTCACGACCCTTTGCCGTTTGGAGTGGATTTCGGCAAGGTTGCTCTGTCCCCATTCCACATCAACTTTGCTATAGATGATGTTCTACAGAATGCTTTGTCCGGTTTAGCAAACGCTGGAGTCGAACCGCCTCCCAGGGAACAGAGTCCTGGAGTTAGAATGTGCCGACATCGTCTTGCTGGGTGACAACACAGCCAGTTCAACATGCTTTGAACTGCTTGGCGAACGAGGTATCGAGGTATAGTATACGTTTGCACCATCCACGTGCAACATGCTTCTTTGAAACTGGCAGGCGCCTGTGCCTGCGCTCATCCTCTATGTTGATCTGCTGGTAGTAGTTTACAGTTTTGAGTACCTCGGAGCATGATCGAAGGCGAATGTGAAATTGGAAGAAAAGACCATATTACTACTAATAAAAGTTTAACCTGCGACATCGCAATAAAATCCTACTCTCTCAAGGGAATGATGTACATCGTTGCGGTACGTAGTATTCCGCTTTTCGGTTGTGCGACCTAACCTCTCCGTATTAAAAATGCTAATTTATTTTCCGTATTCGACGACAGATGTCTCTGAGGCATTGTGTCTGGTGGGAACATCGTTTGCGCAATGACGAGATTCACCGTCGTGTATTGCGTGTGGATCGTCGTTCTCTAATAGAGGTGATTACTCTATACCGCCTCCGATGTTTTTGCATGAATGCCCGTCGTCTACCTTCCCCTGCTCTCTTTGCACGTGATGGGCAAGGCTAGAAGAGGCGTTGCGGCGTTCAGATCATGATACAGCGCAGCGGTATGAAGAAGCTCGCTGAAGCGTTGGCTTCGGTTGGTGCAGCGCGCCTTTCAGGTAGGGGCTTAAGGGCTGAGGATTGCGGTTCGCTAGATACGCTGAGATCTATAACCCAGAATAGAAGTTAGTCGTGCTAACGTTGTACGATCTGTCTGTTGAAATTTCGTGTCCCATAAAAAGATAAACAAACAAAAAGTATCCGCAACTGGACGGTGACGCAAGAAAGTCTTTTCTGTTTAGCAGTTTCATCTCTTTTCACATTCTTTTTCTGCACCCGTATCCCAGTTTTCTATCTCCTATGGCAATTGTTGTTGTCAAGGATGGTGATGATCGGGTGATAACATTCTCAAATGATCCTCCTGAGAGGACGTGTGTTCAAATCCTTCCAAAACCGCCTGGTTTTCTCACTGTGTTGATTAGTTGCTTCCTTCTTCCTGAAAATTGTATCATAATGTATTCAACAGAAGGACGTGAAAATGAAAAGTTGGCACTATACACGTTCACACGTCGGTCGGACATATACAATCCGGTTTGAAATGGGCTAGAATCGGTTCTGGTAGGGGCAGTCTTGTGTTTGAAGTTCTTCAAGAGGGCAACCCAATAGATGAACGAAAGAAAGGGTAAACATGACGAGAAACCAGTCAAACAATCGCAATTAACCAACAGAATTTAAAACACACAAACAACCAATCAAAACCCTCGAAAAGAATAATATGCTTCCGAAAACCCCAGTATGATCGTTTTTTTTCATTACACACATTTGTGAGGTGAACAGCAGAAGAGGCGAACCCCCTAATCAAGAAGACATGCGCCGTCAGGGAAACCGGTAACCTAAGCCTCACGACTTGGTGTGTCGGACCACTCTACTAGGTTAGGCGTGGTATGGAGCCGGCTGATGTGGATGGTCACTGTTCCCTCGCACCTCGCAAAATGCTTCCATACGATCAAGTGTCACAGATAGCCTCTGTTTAGAAACCGACACTCGTTACCTTCCCGTGATAGTGTTTCCCCACCAAAGCCCCAGGAAAAAATCCAACATACGGAGCTAAAAAGGGGGTCAATGAACCTATGGTACTTAATCTAGGGAGAATCCGTTAAAAACCAGGTTTCCAAAACTGACCAAAGGGTGCACGAAACACCCATATAGTCTTGGTTGTGGCAGTGGTTACCAGCTTTACTGAGCACCTTAGATGTTTGACCCCGGTCAGAGGACGTATGGTGATGAACTGCAAGTCGGATCCGGTGGAATGCGGTTCATACACTACGTGACTACATGGTGGGTCAGGTTTTTACTAGCCAACAGCTCCCGCCGTGAATTCCACAAGAAAATTAGCTTGTTTTGGTCTGGACAACCTGGAATTATTACGCCTACAAGCGAATTGTAGAACGTTTTCAATTGTTTGGCACACTCTGAACCGACACGTTTGTGAGTATATAATATATATATATATATATATATATACTCACTGTGGAACGTTTATTTACTTTTATAGGTACCTTCTCTTGCTCCTTTGAATGTTGTACTGATCGCATATGAATGCCCGTATTTCACGTGGTGATCGATAACGTTAGTTAGATGGGTGCCTCAAACTAGTTCAAGAATAAATAGCTATCGAAGAAACATACGAGGATCCATAAAATCCAACTGAGAAATTAAAAAAATAAACAGAAATGTCCGTTAGTTTAATCCAACCTCTAACTCATCCAAACGCAGTGCGTGTCGAGACCATGTGATCTGAGAAGGGAATGCGAAGAAAGCGGAACTCAATACACATGTGACACAAACCAAATTACCTAATGCATAAAACTCACGTTGATGAACATTCCGAAAGTTTTCCGGCACGCTCAGATCGAGCACACCTTCATACCGTCTAAAAAAGCTCATCAGACGTTGCTGTCGACGACGTTTGCTTCGGCCCGGTCGGCTATGCTTAAATTCATGCATGGTGTGTAGCAGGGGGGGAAATGATTTAAGTCTTCAAAGTCGAAGGAGAGAGATATAACTGCTTGAACATATGGAAAGTCTCTACATCCGTTGATCAAAGGACAGAGAAATAGAAGGAGAAAAAAATTAACCTCAGGAAGAAATACAGGCATTGACCGGGTTTAATAAGGCGATACGAAAAAAAGATAAGCATAAAATTTCACAGTAGCAATTTTTCGCATAAATGCGCACTGATTTCAACTTCAAACACTGACATCAATAAAAATGCTAACTTTCGTGCAATATTTCGTGATTCATCTTTCTAAACTTTGGAGCCTAGGTAACGGTTTTTCGTAGTTGTACAGTTAGAATGAGGGTAACTAAAAGGTCTAATCTGTCCTATATGCAACACACTGAAGATCGTTATTCCAGAAATTGAGTTGAAGTGAGCAAAAGACCGGTTTAATAGTTTTGCACATTCGGGGCTGTCCATACCATCCTCATCCAGCGTCGCAAGCAAATCGTGACGTCAGGTTGAACCTTTGCAAGTCCTATAGTTTGCAGCACTTGCAGCATACAACTTCGTATCGTTTTTCAATGTGTATTCTGTGGCATTCTTTTATACATGCTTTTTCATAACTAAAATGATATATATATGAGCTGATCTGGATTACGGAAATTTCTAGACCTGGCATGAGGGTACGAAAACCCAAACCATGAGTCTGGGTCACATAAATCCTGTTAGGCCCCCTGGCTGGGGGCCTCGGGATGATCATTACCGATGGTTAAATACACTGAATAATATAGCTGGCTGTCATAAACAGTGGTGTTACTGCATCTTCTCAATTTATTTGCATTATTAACCCTCTGAACTTCTCAATTTTCTCTTCGATCCTATTTTCAACCTTCCTGTTTTCCTCTTATTGTTCACCCAAATGGACAGTCAAAAGACAGCAACCAAAACCGGCGCACGATAGTGCATGCTTAATGGTTGTTTAAAGTGAACGGACATGTCTGCAGCTAACAAGGCTCATCTCATAAAGACGAACAATCGTTCCAAACAGTACATTTAAATGTGTTTGACCACACCATTTGTGTTCGGATCATTTCAGCAATGCAGGAATAATATTAAGAATGGTCAGTAACAATGGGATTGCATAATCACAAACAGGACAGTGCATTTGGTGTATAATAATATAATAACAACATGACTTACGCCGACGAGAATGGACGGATTCACTTGGACAGCACATTCGGTCACATCGGACAGTATCTGTGAGCGATTCGAGGAAGAAGAGGGAAACGGTGCTAGTCAGTGTGCTGTATGTGCAGTGATATGGCAGGACAGACAATACACGTACTCAGGTTGCTTAACGCAAAGAACTCAACATGCGCCAAGTTGAAAGCCGTGGGTAATAGACAGTGTACTTTGCCTCCAGATTGTGCTAAACAATCGTACTGCAAGAATTTTTAAAACCAAGGTCAACTCTTCATTCAGGTTCCCCGGACAACAAATTCTCCTTGCCATGTTTGCTAGACAGTTCACTAAATTACGTTTGTATCTCAGTGGGACGAAACTTTGAAAATACATGTACTGTCCAACCCACGTGCGGTACACTGTTCTTTCGATACAGCCATCATCTGTACGACGAAGACCAATGTCCAGAAAGGAGAAAACGTTGTCTTTTTCCATCTCCTTTGTAAACCGTATACCCGGATGAGCGTTGTTAAATATTTGAAGTAACTTATTAATGTTCAACAGCTTAAGGACAAATTGCCTCGTTAGTCCCAATCTTTTGTTCACGTGTACTTGTAGTGCTCGTTATATCGGACACACAAGGAGGAGTCTGTTCAAGAGAATAGCTTAACATTGTCCGGTCGCTCTTCGAAAAGGAACAGTGAGAAGCTTGAACAGCTCAATCCTGCAACATTTGGTCGACTGTGGACACCGGATTGACCCAGAAACAGCATTTACAAGTTTCTCCATTGTGCCTAAGAACCACACCAAGGGATTACGTAGGAAGATCCTAACAACTGCGGACTCTATAGCAATTACAATCATGAAGCCGGAGATGTGCAATCAACGTAATCTGGTTCAAGCGCTGCTGTTACCATGGTCATATCTCTGTGACACTTTCTATTCTCTCCCTCCTCTACTCCTCATTCACTGTCTTTTTTTGCACACTTTCACACCAACACCTTTCGTATCGTGTCCAATTCACACATTTTTATCCTGCTTTTCCCTATCCACTTATCGTGACCGCATAGCGTGTTGTCAACGAAACACTTTGCACACAGACATTCATTCAATATCAGCCCATGCCTTGTATTATTCTAATGATTAATTAAACCATATATGTGAATGCCTAAAGCGATGTATCGAAAAGAAATTTCTTTTCGTTTTGACTTCATTCTTATGCATCGATGGGAATATTTTACGATCATTATATATATATA